TAGTATAGGGTAGCAAAATTCAGCTGAACTAGCTCTGGTATAGGCTAAGGGTTCCAAGGTCCCAGCGGCAAATCCCTACCCAGACATTCCTGATTCAGCCTCTTATGAAATATATTCTTGTGTAAAAGAGTGTAGTACTGGCACAGCTTCATTGCTTTGTTTCGTACTCCTGGCGCAATTTCGTTGAGTTGACAACGTTGCATATCGAATTATAGTTAGGACATTTAACAATCATTGCGAAAACGTGTCTTTTCAAGTGCTGTGTGGGAACGAATGAAATTAACGCAATTTTGAGCCATGAATGTCTGCCAAATTTTTTGTTTGGGTGTACTCCGTTTCCGAAATTTTTCTCTCATTTCCAGTTCAGAACAAAACTTGCGTTCTTGATGGAGGCCAGACTTTTCATTATGAGCCAGAAAGGTGGCCTTCACTGTTGAGTCTCATTTGATGAGACTCAACAGTCATTTGAACATCTGTCAGGTGATAGCCAAAGTAAGATTTTGACGACACTTCGCGACACAAACCATCCTACAAAGATGTGGCGTCGAAAACTGTTCTTCGCCCTACCGGCCGGCCGTATTCAGTAAGGCTCAGTTTTGTGTCAAGGTAAACTGATCAGACAAACGGAAAACGAGACACCAGCCGAAATGTTTCCAAGGAACGGAAAATTCTGACCTATTAAGGTGGCCCTCCACGGTTTTCTATTTTCAGCACTTTTTTGATGAATCAGAATAACCCATTTCCAATTTACCTTGTGTCTCTGTTTCAAAATGAGTCCTCGTGCACAACCTTTCTTATGAAAATGAGTTTGATTTATAAAAATGAACCTGTAGGGGGAACTCATTTTCATATGAATGGTTTTGACACAGTGGCAAAAGGCGACTCGAAAATAGCCTATTCCAGCACCCTTTTTCAGCCGATGCCTAATAATGGTATCAAAAATCAAAAATAGCCAATCATTGGTGAAACCGTATGATCATTTTCGTTGCACAAGATTATCATAGGAACAGTATAACAGTTGAGATTACCCTTAATTTTTCCTCTAAGTGCATTTAACAATTACTCCACGAAAGCGAGTTGAATATGAGATGATAGATAGCCAACGAGGGGTGTAGCACTGAGTTGTCTGTTATCATCTCATATCCAACAAGCGCGAGTGGATTAATTATTTTACTAAAAGCGCACCAAAAATATAGAAAACTCAAATAAAATAAAAATTGTGGAGAATGGTATAATGGTTCATATACCATGATGGCTACTGAAGCCAATGAAAACTCTTGAATTGCATTATCCAATGATCCAGTTTTTCATACAGGAAGCTGTCGTAAGAGGGCCGTCGATAAAACCAGGATCACGGAACATTCTGGAACATCCCGAAACATTCCGGAACATCCCGGAACATGGAATAATTATAATAATTACGCGAAAAATATGTAAAATAAAATTTTGAAAAATTAAATCAAACAAAAATAAACTGGTATCAGCTCGGAAAATAGAAAAAAACAAAAAAAGAAAGAAAAATGAAGTGACTGCAATGAGTGACTTTTTTCCTGCCAATTGCTTCTCAGAACTCTGTTTTTCAACACAAACATGATTTCTTCAACATCTGAGGTGTTTGTCTGAACATCGTACAGTTGCTTGTTAAGTCAGTATTCATAGTTTTGTCCCTATTCCATCTTCACGTTGCTATTTATCATCC